CTCGCTGACTTGGTTTACATGTCATCGGTTCTCAATTACGTAGATCGATGTGCATGATGCAGAGCACTGGATTGTCTGGTCCAGACTCGATTATTTACAGACCGTTGCCATATAGTTGGAATACTGCCAAGCGCAGCATGAAACAACAATCAACCAAACCAACTACAGAGATACTTATCAGTTCCATATTTTGGAAAATTCAGTTGCAACCCCAGTGTTGAAGGGTGCTCTGTGAATAAATATACATACATGTTAGTATGGTGTATGTAGGTCATGCACGAGGGCTGATGTTTTAAGTTCTGAGCTTCACATCAAAAGATAAACTGAAGACATTGCAATGATATTTCAAGGTAAACCCCTTCAACATTGAAACACATGTGATACTGGAGCATCTCTTACCAGGTGTGTGAAAGCTGTCATCGTCTTCTTTGTGGTAGGGATAGCCTAATGGTTAAAGTGTCTGCTCATCAGCTTTAGACCTGGGTTCGATTCACCACATGGGTACAATATGTGAAGCTCATTTCTGGTGTCCCCCACCTTGATATTGCTAAAAGCGGCGTAAAACCTTACTGACTAACTGTTCTACTTTGTCTGTTCTCCACAGCTGCCGCGTGATGTCATCTTTGTATATTTGAAATAGGTTCCAATCTGGAAATGCCTACTGAACCAGACATATGGTGCTGAGTTATTTGTTGGTTGAGCATAACTATATGATGGATTGAGGCCATTCATGATGAGGTTCAAAGCTGTTCCTGCCAGGCTTAATCTCAAGCTTGAAGCTTAAATCCCATCCCCTTTATCTTCAGAGATGAATTTTGATATTAAGCCCTTTTTCTGTAACTACTTGATCAATGCAGGTTCTTGTCTTATACATTTTCCAAAGGTCACTGAGCTGTTTTTATGTTACTGACATCACAGCGAAAAATTTCGCTCAGTTGACTTAAGTTTTTGTGGATATGACGTTTGTTGTGGACACTACATGATTTCACTGTTGGACAATTCTTTGTGTGATGCTCAGAACTTACCAATCAATCCTCATGCCATACATATCTAGTCAGAGAGACTACCATCACAATGTCTACAGCAACTGATGAATATTGTCATTTGTATAAGGTTTCGTTATTTGCTTCATTAAAATGAAATTATTTTTAAACTGTGACTTTGTATTTGATAATGTGGATCAGTGAGTCATGCCATGTCTTGGAATGAATGTGTTCCACTGTGGCCCTCGTTGAGGTTATGCAAGACATCCAAGAGTGAGATGGGTGAGAGACTTCGTTTCCAATGTTGTTTAACACCATCAGGGTGTCAGCAAACATTGTAGTCCAGGGCCCCGTTCCTGAAAGCGATCGTAGCGCTAAGGTGATCGTAACTCCGATACTTTAACATAGACTTACGACTGTCGTAGTGCTACGATCGCTTTGAGGAACAGGACCCTGTTTGTTACTATTTTGTGAAACAAATGAGCATGCGTATAATGCCATTGACAAAGGAAGAATCATTATTAGGGTTGGAAAGGAATTAGAATCCATGACCATAGGATTCTGACACACTTAGGACACAACTATGCACATAATACAAATGTTAACATATCAGCCATGATATGGTAGCTTCAGGTCAGAGTTCTGTTGGTAAGGATAAACACATCAGAGTCAAGTCAGGGCTACAGATAAGGGGCGTACAGGCGTAATGTATGCCTCAAAATCAATTAAGTACGACATCATATAAGATTTCAAGCGTATTGTGTACCCACATAAATACCTTTGTACGTCTAACATTTAATTTCCGTTCTTATCTTGCAAATGGAAATCTATTTTGGATAAATACTTGTTGTTAAGTTTCTTTTGCAAAACACGATTTGACACAGTAGGAAACCCCGACAGTTGCCATGCAACGATATGCGTCACTATTTTTCGATTGGCTAAAAACTACACTGTTCCTATTTATATCCAGTCGGACCTGACATTTCGCGCATCACACAGTCGCTCAGTTATTTCTCCGCGCGTCTTCAAATACAAACACATGGTTGGAAATAGTGATCGATGAATCGTCCAGACAAATCCACATCAACTTCGCTCACACAAAACATGTCATTACTCCTTCAAAATTCTCAGTACACCTCCACTTGCAATATGATGTGTAAGTACACTCACACCCCCAAAAGTTATCTGGAGCCCTGCAAGTGGTATGAACATTACTTGTGTAACTATATACTGGATAGAAATATGATACATATATCATAGTTGTAATGTTTCCATACAATACCTTAAAAGCAGACTCAAGTAAATGACTATTAGCTCTACCAAACTTTGTCATACCTAGTTATTACACATCTATGAGCGTAATCTTACGCTGCCACTGCTCATGTCAGTAGGGGGATGGTCTAGTTGTCTAAGGTGGTGCTATATGCTGTGCAGAGTTGTGTCCCTTAGGAACAGAAACCTGATTATGTTTCTTGGTTTATCAACATCATAACAATCCTTGAGGGTTTCACCACGGTGGTAAACATGTTAGGCGGTGTTCCCACATAACGCTGACATGCCGTGATATAACTGGCATACAGTTCAAGTGGCGTTTATCAACATCATAACAATCCTTGAGGGTTTCACCACGGTGGTAAACATGTTTGGCTGTGTTCCCACATAACGCTGACATGCCATGATATAACTGGAATACAGTTCAAGTGGCGTTAATCAACCTCATCACAGGTGTCCTGCACGACAAGTTCACAAAGTCAACACAAAGGAACAATTCTCACAACCTTTATTTCATCCTTTCTGCAGCTGTATACAAAATATTGAACATGACAACAATGTCAGCTTAACATTTACCATCAGTGTAGTACATGGCCTTCGTTATAGCACCTTGACTTACTACAGGATTCACAAACTGTTAAAGCACATTGAGCACACCTTCTGGTTACTCAATCCACTGGTTACTCAGTACTCCCCAAGAAGTGTTGAGGGAGACCTCTACTATACATGCCTCTGTGGTATGCTTATGGTACATCATGATACATCTAAGGCCCTTCCTCTGATACTGATCCAGTCAACTCACACACGTCACAATAGTGTTAAAACGCAACATTTAATAGTTTCTATGTATACATTTGTCTAATAAAATGAGCAAATTACTGCAATATTTCGTGCTTAATGGAATGAATGATTTAACATTGTATTTAACAATTATCAATGCTGAGTGAGTATTAAATTGAGCAAAACCGAGTAAAAGACAAAACAGTCTGTATTATAGACTTTGGGCAATTTGTGATTTGGTATGTACTTTTGTTCAATTGTGAAAGGCCAAACTTCATTTTTGCTTGGTTCATAGATCCAACGAACACAAAATTGACAATTCAGAAAGAAAATACAAGACAAGGGGTTTTGAACTGCATACAGAAACTCTTTGACAATAAAAATACTTCATGAAATCTTTATAGGACTATTAAAACAAATATTTGTCAAACAGTTTATAGTAATATTGCACATTTGGTACATTGCATTTTGTGCATTTTCATTTATTTTCAACTTAAAATTTGTAACTCCCTTCCCACTACAAAACCATATGGCCTGAAGCGTAAGATATACATATGGGATAATGACTTGCACAACAAAATAACACACTCAAAGATTAAACATAAATGTAGGAAATTGGAACAGAAGTGTAACATTTATGAATTTTTCAATACAAACGGAACTAACGTCTAAAATAAAGTATCTGGATTGACAAATAACGTTTTACCTGGCCAGATATTACAGGAGCAGTAAAACAGCTCCCTTGGAATGACTGGTAGACAAAACAAACTGTAGTGAATGGAATTTTGTTTACTCATTTATAAACAACTGTAGAAAATATATTACAATGTCCTCTAACAATAACCTCAAGTCTTAACATTGGTTGTTAAATCAATATACACCCTCTTTGCGACATGGAAAGAAAAACATGCTGCAATATCTTACTGGCAAACAAGGATAAGTTGGACCGGCGCAGAGAACACGTTCACGAGAAGTAGGCGGTGCACGGCAATGAGCAAACCCATGTGGTTTGTGAAAGGTAGAGCAGATGTAGGCTAGTGCACGTGCATGGCATGGTGATGAAATTGATTCTGCGCCTTGCTCATAAGACTCACGTCGGTGTAGCAAGTGGCACTACACTTCATCGGGGACAACCTGAGGCCCCTTCGGTAACAATGGCAAGTGCCAGTGGGCGGCACTCATGCATGCTAATACGGGTCAATTGTCAGGTCGGTGCTCAACTTATCTTTGTTTGCCAGTAAGGAGATGGTAGACAAATGGTGTTCATGTTAAAAATGAAAATTCCATCACTTTGCTTAACTGAGTGATTAATGAAGGTTTCCTAAATACACCTTTCACTATGGTGTTTCTTATGAAAATGACATTCTACTTCCTGGGACTATATATCTACAGTCAATTTATACATTTGATTGAATGCTCTACAGCCAGCTAAATGTGATTATAAATTTGAACGGCTGAATAAACAGTGGAAGATTGTTTTATGACCATTGATTGGCCGAATAAACAGTGTAAGATTCTCGTATGACTGTTGATTGGCTGATTTTAAACAGTGGAAGATTCTCCGATGGCCATTGATTGGCTGATGAAACAGTGGAAGATTCTCTTATGACCGTTGATTGGCTGATGAAACTGAAAGATTCTTCACAAGTTAATGATGTCCCTGCTTGAGCATTTCACTCTTCCATGTCACTAAGCAGCCATTTTGGAATTATGATTCTTGCACATCTTGAAGAGACACTTGGAGAAGAGACATATCATCCGAAGGCTCCACAACTTATTGAGTCAAAGCAGTTAATTTTTCATCTTGTTTTGAAGACAGGTACAAATCACTCATTATGTTGTTGACTCAAGCAAGAGGTAATATTACACCACATTATGTTAACAAATGCTTGTCACGACAGTGTTTCAACTTATGCGACGGTGCCAGGGAGTCAGTGCCTTCCCTTTTTGCACTATGCATTTTCCTTTCTCAAAACTATCAATGAATTTATAGAACCCTTCAACAGCTCCTTTTAAACTTGTGATAACTGAAGCAAGAGTGTTTGTAACGGTTTCCTGTTCCATCATTTCTTTATATTTGTTATGAACAGACATCCCTAATATCAGGCACCGTAGTCTTATTTCAGAGGCAACCCTCCTCTGAAGACAGCCTTAATGAAACCAGCTGTTATGAGTTCACAGACTAAAGCTACACGACATCTGTCCACACATTCTCACATGTTATCACAATCAGCTCATGGAAACTTGGGCCCTTGTTGTCATGGTGACAGATCCAGCTCGGAGGCATTGATTAAATTTTCTGTCTCCCAAACGTATGTTTCATTAAGAAATTCATCAAAGGATTTGTTCGTAACAATGCTTTTCACTGCTCCCCAAGTGAATCGAAAACTGGAAAAGAGTGGAAAAGACATTATGTTCATTTGTAATAGTCACAGTGAGGATCTTTTGAGTGTTAATTATCATTTAATCATTGACTTTTTAAAAGAAATAGAAGTGCTAGATAAATTTTTGATGAATGGTTTGTAAATAGATATGTATTTTAATTGGTAGTTTTGAGTAGCCAGATTGTTAGTGGCTGTGTGCCCTCAAATGGCGTCAAAGTATTGTAAAATCATTGTCCTCCTGTAACTGCGTTTGTCCTTTCAAAGTAAGATGTAAATTTACCACATTTTAATGTAGTATTTTGTTCTTTTAACTTTCAGTGTTTTCCTATTGAGGCATGTTGAAAAGCTAGGGTCCATGCATTAGCAAAGGTACTGTAAGTCCCCATGATCCCTAGTATGGTGATCTACCTTCTGTTGTTGGCGATCTCTAGTTCAAAATATTGTACTGTCAAACAGTGCTATTAGTTTTAAACTGTCCATGCTAGTTTTAATTCTAATTGTGATATTCTAGTTGTTTTACTGTCCTTGTCAGTACAGGTTTTTATAATATATATATTCCATTCAAAGATCAAATATGTTCTCGTCACAATATGGCAAAATATTGCCATCCTCTAAAAATCAAATTCACTCACTCACTCATTTGTAATATGAATATACTTGTTCTAATGCTTCTTGAAAACTGATAAAATCATGTCTTACCTCCTCATAAAAAGATTATATTTTTTAACCAGGAACTGTTTTATTCTTTCTATGGAAGTCTTCTTTTTCCTTGATTCCTCTGCTTTCTTGGCTGCAAGAGCCTCCTTGTACTGGTCCAGCATGGGGTCTTGCTGGAACCTGGTCAGTGTTATGTTGGCCTGGCTGTCTGCAAGCACAAACAGTCAGGTGACATTGTGAAGTTGCAAGTACAGTGCCAGGGGACATGAATAGGTTGCAAATATACAGCCAGGGGACTGACAGTCTTAAGCTGGCCACCTACCTGAATCATTGTGTTCCGTGCTGGTGATTGCGTTCTCATACTTGGTGAGGTTCTCCAGGAACTCCACTTCTGTGGTGTTGACGTAGATGTACATGTAGCAGGAGGACGTTGTTGAGACTGTGTACACATTGTGGAACTCCCCCGGAGGAACCTGCAACATCACTAGTGTTGGGAATCGGAAACCAAATCCTCTATTGATTATCGGAGGACTTGTGGTGAACGATTATAGATTATAATTGAAATGTATACATTTTTAATGTAATCACCACTTTTAAGGGTTTTTCCCCAGTTTTTTTATAATTAATGTTTTTTTCTATAACTAATACTGTCATGCAATGAAATGCACGCATGCAAGTAAGACACTGGAATTGTAATTAAATAATAAAAGAGGTTTAAATTTTACAATGCGCATAGCTTTACGCTGTTGAGCGCATGTTTGTTCGTGAATATTCATCAAATTAAATGGTTAGTATACTAAATGCAAGGGTGTTATACAAAAACAACAAAATTCCGATTAATCAAAAATATTTTTTTTACAATCGATAATCATTTTTAATCCTTCTTTCGATCGATTTTATATATTTTTTTCAATCATCGGAACACCACTAAACATCACATAGTTAACAAAAGCTGAATCTACACATTCACAAATCTCTAATTAAGAATGAGGACAATTTTTATGGATATGCAACTTCTTTACTCTGTATTGGTGATGTTTCAACAAGGATTCTAATGTCGTTGTCAATGCCAATAGAATCTATGTTGAAGCATCACCTATATGGAATAAAGAAGTTGTATATCCATAAAAATCTGCTCAACTTCTAGAATGCCAATCAAAGAAGTCAATCACTTATTACACCAGTCTAACCAGGCAATCAAAGCTGGTGCATGTTGTACTTCTATGCCAGTAAATTGACTGAACATACTATAGTCCCCGTGTGTATGATGATGTTGCCATCACAGGTTTTTCTGAAAGATGGATGCAGTGGTTTAACAACCACCATGAGAACTACAGGTGCTGACAGCAGATCCTCTCAATTTGGGCAACTGTTGTGCTAGACTTCCACACAGCTTAACACTGACTGACTGACTGAGTTTGGTTTTACGCCGCTTTTAGCAATATTCCAGCAACATCACGGAGAGGGACACCAGAAATGAGCTTCACACATTGTACCCATGTGGGGATTCGAACCCGGGTCTTCGGCTTGACGCGCCAACGCTTTTACCATTAGGCTACCCCACCGCCCCCACAGCTTAACACTACTCCCACAGTCTCACCCATTCCAGCATTCTGGAAGTGTCACTTGTATGTAGAATTCCGAACTAATTGCACAGGTAAATAAAATACATCCTTGTACCATGGTCTTTACAAGCTATGCCACACGCCATCCAGAATTATGCTCCCTCCTCCCCCCCCAAAAAATAATAATAATAATAATAATAAATAAAAAAAATAATAAAATAAAATAAAAAAAAAATAAAAAAATAAAAAATAAATAAATAAAATAATAATAATAATAATAATTAGGTAAATAAAAAAAATAAAAACACATTAAAAAACATGATACATTATAAATAGTTAAGTTATAATTTGTTGATAATAAAATGCACTGTGAATGAACAATGCAATAGTGAAGGGATATAATCTACAGCTTTGTTTTTATGACTAACTGTATTAGTGGAGACACAAAGATAATCAAGGGTAAGCCCTGCTTGGTGGAACCCTGTACTCACCTGCATGGTCTCTCCCTCCATCAGCGTATAGTTGACTCGGTCCTCCACCAACTCCACAACCACCCTGCCCTTCAGCACTGTGATGGACGTGTTCCCCAGATCTTCCTGTACATAGTTCTCCAGGAACAGACCTGCACCCACACATACATCAGTTACAATTTGACCCTGAGGCATGCCAGAAACCAATGATCATGGGTTTGATCCAGATCAGTCAGACATCATTATGTTTCTTGGAGTCACAGCATTATACCCATGCTCATAGTTACACCAAAGTGGTAAACATAGCATCATTTTAGAATTTCTTCACAAGCGGACATTCCACGACAACAGTCTGCATCTTAATGATTTGATGTATGCAATGTCTTGATAAACATGAACCCTACAGTTGACGCTGTGTACCTGGGAAGTCTGCTACAAAGACAACGTCGGTGTGGTTGGTGGAGTTGTGTAGTGATGACTGTATCTCCGCCAGCTTTCCCCGCCAGTCAGACAGGTCTATCAACAGAGGCATCGTCCATGCCGTGGCCTGGAAGGGGTTCCAGTTTGCTGCCAGTATGTCCTCCCGAGGATCAAACATTCTGACAACAAACACCATCACTTATTACTGACAGCCTACATACTGTATTGATACTATCATGCTTCAGATGACAGGCAGTTCAACTGCATTGTCTTGAACTGCGATGTGTGGAATTCCTATTTGTTTTAAGCTCACAATCCAATCTTGGCAAACTCTTCTTAATCTTCTCAATGCTGCTGTCAAACCCATTTGACAGGAAGGCAGCGTAATGACATACTGGTTCAGTTGTCCCTTATTTAATGACTCACCAACTGTTTGAAATCACAACCCACCCCACCCCCACCCCTCATTACCACGCCTTATGCTGAAATTCAGCATGCTAAAGGTTAAATCAGTCACTATTTCAGCTGGATGTGTCAAACTGAAGTGTCAAATTCACTGTTTCCAGCTTAATTAGAACTTCCAAGAGTTGTAAATAAGTACAGAAGGTAATGAGGTCAAATCAGATCTGCCACACCTGAACAAGTGAGATTACTTCTTGTTACCCAGCCAATGGGCATTAAAGAGATAAAACAAGGGCTCATTGTCTCAAACTGTATCTGACAGGAGTATCTATGTTAAACTTGGGTACATGATTCATAGTGCCAGCACCATAACATCGACATTAGACTAGTACAAGCAGACAGGACATCGTGATGTAGTGCTATAATCTTCTGGTGACACTAAAGCCTGCCTCACCTCACCTCACCAACAGACAGCTACTTAATGACTAAAGGTGTAGGAAATGTATCTAACCTCTGTTGAAATCGGTCATTGATGGACTTCCAGATGTCGAAGTGCAGGGCGATGTTGGTGATGTTGTAGCGTTGCAGGTGACTGGCAATACACTGGGAGTACTGCTTTAACATGTCCGCATGGGAACTCCAGCGACGAGAACCAGAAAATGCCTGGACAAAGAACAAGAAATATCACACAACCCGTAATCAAGTACTTCTAAATGGATAAGAAGATAAAATGACACACAAATTACTGTGATGTATGTGGCAGCTCTATTTCCTCATCACACACTGCTGTACACTCACATTAGGGTTGAGATAGCCCTGTTCCCCAGTGTCCCGATTGACGTAGGTGATGCGGACGTGCTGCACGGACCATGAGTGGATCATCATGTCCCAGGAGTAGCCGTACAGGCCCGTTCGTCCAGTTGTTGTAGCCCTGTGATAGACAACCATAGTCAACAACTAACATAGCTCTTATCATATCATACAGCAGTATCTACATTCGAGAAATTCAAAAGGGAATCTTGTGTAAAGATGTCCTGTTACACATAATAAAATACAAGAATAAAAGGCTTTACAATCTGTTAATTTAAAGACTGTGATTGCTTAAATTCAGCAGACATACAGATAGTGACTGTGAGACAGCAGCTGATCAGCTGCCTTGGTGAGACTCATGGTAGGTTCCTCCCTTGGTGAGACAAAATAGTGAACTACCTATCTAGGTGAGACAGAGTAGTGAACCACCTATCCTGGTGAATCTCTGAGTACCTTGGTGAGGCAGAGTTATGGGTACCTTACCTTAGTGGACTTGCTACCTTGGTGAAACTACAGTGAACCAACTTCCTTGGTGACACCATGAGGAATGGTTCATCTAGATTGGAGAAGCACAGTAGTGGACAACCTACCTTGGTAAGACTGTGGAGGCAGTGGACCACCTACATTGGTGAGACTGTGGGAGTAGTGGATCACCTGCAATGGTGAGACTGTGGGAGTAGTGTATAACCTACCTTGGTAAGATTCTGGGAATAGTGGACCATCTACCTTGGTGAGACTGTGGGAGTAGTGTATCACCTGCAATGGTGAGACTGTAAGAGTAATGGACCACCTACCTTGGTAAGATTCTGGGAATAGTGGACCATCTACCTTGGTGAGACTGTGGGAGTATTGGACCGCCTACCTTTGTGAGACTGGGAGTAGTGGAATACCTACCTTGGTGAGAATGTGTGAGTAGTGGACTAGCTATCTTGGTGAGACTGTGGGAGCAGTGGACCACCTATCTTGGTGAGACTGTGGGCATAGTGGACCACCTATCTTGGTGAGACTGTGGGCGTATTGGACCACCTATCTTGGTGAGACTGTGGGAGCAGTGGACCAGCTATCTTGGTGAGACTGTGGGCGTAGTGGACCACCTATCTTGGTGAGACTGTGGGAGCAGTGGACCACCTATCTTGGTGAGACTGTGGGAGTAGTGGCCAATCTACTTTGGTGAGACTATTCGAGTAGTGGACCATCTACCTTGGTCGGACTGTGGGAGTAGTAGACCACCTACCTTGGTGAGACTGTGGGAGTAGTAGACCACCTACCTTGGTGAGACTGTGGGAGTAAGGCAGGAAGAGCTGGCTTAAAATGATGCACAGAGTGAAGATGCTGGATGTCTTGTGGTACAGAGATGGTTTGGTTGGAGAGGCAGCTCCTAGCACAAACACACTTGAGGGCGACTTTCTTGAACCCACTCCAGACTCCTGTACAGCAACATAAATGAAGAACCTCTAACAATGATAATGTAGAATTGTCACTGCTTTAGACAAATTTAGATGTAATCGAATAAGTGATGTTTTAAGGTCAACAGTATGAGCACCAACCCCATTTACTTTGTGTACTGTTTACTGCTACACCAGCAATATTGCACCTATACGGCAGCAGACAGTAAATATTCCAGTGATTGGTTTCAAGAGCAGAGTCACTGAGCTAGACCAAACACATCTTAAGACATGCACAGGTTGCTGGCACCTATTCCAACCCTGAATCCTCAAAATATCATGGTACAACTGCTCAGCATCAACTAGGTTATGGCTGATTGATTGTTTGAAATCGGAACTGTTGCTCATTCGCTACTCAATTGTTTCCATTGTCAATGATTTCACCCCTGCTTGTAACCTGATTTGCTGGAATAAAAAGACCCCCCAAAAACAAAAATAAACATTTCAAAATCGAAAAAACAACAAAAAACAAAAAAACAAACAAACTACGTTATGGTTAGAGATGTTCTCTCTTAGCACTATATTTTTCAAGTACTATTCATACTCAACAGCCATTGAATCTGCCCAATCACCATTCTGCTACCTTGACCTTTGATAGCCATAAAGCAATCAGTGGATGTGGTAGAATTTATCCGAATATGTTTTAGAGGTTTTGAGGTAAATATGTCTCATACATGGCTAAAACTGTGTTTGACAACAATCAGAACACAGACCTTGACCTTGAATTTATCTGGACCAAAACTTGCTTGACAACAGTATAAGGATCTATATGGAAACGTCACATCATATATAATAAAGACTTTGTGATTCATAGTGAGTGTGTGAGTTTAAGTTTACACCACTTTTAGCAATATTCCAGCAATATCACAGCAGGGGACACCAGAAATGGGCTTCACACATTGTACCCATGTGGGAAATTGAACCTGAATCTTCGGTGTGATGATCAAACACTCTAACTACTGGGCTATCCCATCACCCCCACCCCAAACCAAGAGTGTATGTTAAATGAATACTTTTTGTTGAACTGTAACAACACATTTTCGTGTGGCCTTTTCAGTCCATGTGCTCAGACAAGCCCCATTGTCTGTTTGGATAGAGTCAATAGAATATGAATCATTAATGTCAATAATGTTTGAGTAGCATTCATTCATAAAACAACCGTCGGCAGTAAAACCTTCATGCTGTCGTGTTCCACAGGGCAACTCAATGGTGATGATATGATGTTAAATATTCATTCCTCGCGCACTATACTGGAGCCATGGAAGGCTTTAAGTCACGAATGTTTCTCTCAGTTCCAATTTTATTAGTGGATCATACTGACCTTTTCCGGTTTGACATCCTCCTTGTTGTATAGACAATGGCTGCTGGTTTGAATGTCTTCGTCATCAGGGGAGAGTACTCTTAATGATGGAGGCACCTTTCTGAACATCCGTCGCGGCCAGTCAGCGTAACAGAAGACTTGTTGTGTGGCAAGCATCATCCATGAGAACATACCTTAACACAACAGGAACGGGGTTAGTCTCCACAGAAACCTGGTGCACTTGATGTTTGGAAATCTCGTTTCTGATTGAGTTCGACCCGTGAAGGTCCGGGTTAGAATTGATCTTCAGTAACCCATGCTTGTCGTAAGAGGCGACTTATGGGATCAGGTGGTCAGGCTCGCTGACTTGGTTGACACATGTTGATGCTCATGCTGTTGATCACTGGATTGTCTGGTTCAGACTCGATTTTTTACAGACCGCCGTCATGTAGCTGGAATATTGCTGAGTGCGGCATAAAACTAAACTCACTCACTCACTCTGACTGAGTTCACATGAACCAGTATTTGGGTTGGCAATGGGAAACAATGTACACTCAGCAAAATGTAGCCAATCAGAAACTAGGAGAGTTGAATATTACAAAGCTTTTAGCAATATCATGGCAATATCACAGTGGGGGACTACAGAAATTGGCTTCATAGATTGCATACATGAAGCAAACAGTGTGATGATAGCTCTAACCTCCATCCTACCCCAGCGCCCCTCATAGTAACTGAGATATGACAGAGAGAAAATCTGAGATCAAACTGCAAACACTTGATGACCTTGATGTGGGTGCTTTAGGATTGTCATGGATACAAATCAAATTACTCAGCAACAAGAATGCATTTTGAACTGTATTAATGCATATTTACTCATATTTTACAATTACAAACAGCTGCTTTATGATGTATTTATGTTAAAGAGCTCTCTTGTCAGTTCATCTACAGTCTTATTTTTTACTGAATATTTACAAAACCTGAAACTTAAGACATTACATTCTGTAATCGTAACATATGAAGAAAAAGAATATTTAAAGATGAACAGCAAGTCTTACCAATATGGAACATCTGGGAGTTCATGAGATGGAAGCTGGAACAGAAGAACATCCCCAGGCATCGTGTCTTGTCGAAGAACAGAAGGAAGCCAACAAACAGGTCAAGGGTCAATCCGCCTAGATGTACAATATAAATGTCTATCTGGTCCTCTGTCAGCAGCAGTCTGAAACATCAACAGACCAACATCAACTCAAGGGTCAAGGGTCAGTCTGCCTAGAAACACAACATAAATGTCTATCTGGTCCTCTGTGATAGCAGTCTGAAACATCAACAGACCAACATCAACTCAAGGGTCAAGGGTCAGTCTGCCTAGAAACACAATATAAATGTCTATCTGGTCCTCTGTCAGCAGCAGTCTGAAACATCAACAGACCAACATCAATTTGACTTTGAGTGGACCCACAGTCTGGTGACTGTTTCACCTGTTCAGCATGTTACTGTACTTAAACCTTTGTTGTTGGGATGTGATGCAGAGAAAAATGTGGAGTTCACTGATACAAAAGTCATGTATAACAGTGGTAATCTACAATCATCAAGGTCATACGATGACCCACAAGGGACCCATTCCACAAAGCCATCTTAACGCTACCACGGTTGTAAGTTTAGGGTAAAGAATGGGAATTACAATCACCTTGGCACTGTGATCGCTTTGTGGAACACTCATCATGGACATCTGTTCAGACTAGTCGGGCGTTGGGATAACCTAGTGTTTGGAGTGTCTGATTACTACACAAGTACCCTGATTTCATTACCCACATATGTCAAAGTGTGATTTGGTGCCATGGGCTTTATTTTCATTAAAGGCAAGATACTTTATTGATGACAATTTCTTTTTCTATTATATGACGTTTCAGTATAGATCCTTGCACCATTGTCAGGCAACAGAGGCATACTACAGCATAGAATTGTATCAGAGTATGAAATAAGGCCCGTCCGACCGCCTGAGACGGTCTAGATTTCTCACGGACGGTCTAAATTTACAGCTAGCCAGCCTGATGGTCTGGTAAATTTTGTTGATGTTCCATACATCTGAATAAATTCACCATATTTGGTCTGGTTAAATCCATTTTCAAAATGTTACCAGCCCTGATGTCTGGCTGGATTTTTGGCTTATTTCATACACTGATTGTATGCATCTAATAGGGTTTAACAAAAAAAAGGCCATGAATTTTCACGAAAACTTGCTAAGAGCAGTGTAGAACCACACTCACTCACTCACTCTTCAGACTGGCATACAGGGGACCTGGACAGACAGACTTCTTAAAACAATACAATTCTCATGAATGTACATTAGGGGTTCATAACATGTAACTTTTTATTTGACACTGAGATAGATTGTTTCAGCTATTTAGACCATAAATATGGGATACTTCTCCCAACAAATCCTCAGTTGTGGTCTGATAACGTTGTTGGGACATGGACAGGAAGTGAGCACCATTAAGCCAGACATCATCCTGACTGCACTGGAATCTGTACAATCCTAGTCTCTTTTCTCCGGTATCACAGCCCTGATAATTACAGTTGAGCACAATTGGTTTTTCAATAATATTCCACTTTCGTTATCTCCACCAGTCTACTTGGATGTGAGTAGCGGCGAGTCGGTCTGGCCAGCTAACATTCTCCCGCCTTATCATGCTTCCATTATCAAAATGTTTGGTTCAGTTAGCATTTCAGTGCTCTAAGTAGAATTCCTGTCAGATGCTTGCTGATGACCCAGTCACATTTGTGTTTTTGATTTAATCAAAGTAATTTTGTGTCAAGGTTCGGGGCTCTGAAACAAGCTGGTACATATTGCACAAGCCAGCTGCTGGAGAAACTCAGAACTACAAACACATAAAAGGTTATCAGTATTTTGAGTAAGTGCAGGTTCATGACATTCCTAAATATCCAGCTATGTCATGGCAGCCTATAAATAATATAGCCTTGTCCAGTATCTATCTATAAGCAATACTCCTTACAGGGTTTGATGATGTATAATCTGTCAAGTCAACAGTTCTAATCCAAATTCTAAACATTGCTACCATAGAGTAAAACTGTCTTCTACCAAATACTGAGTTGATGGTGTTTTAGTTAACAAAGCTTAACAATATCATTTGAACAACACAGTTCTTCCATTGTGTGGTGACCCATTGCCCCAAAGTCCTGGGCCCCATTTCACAAAGCTATCGTAGCATTAAGGTGATCGTAACCCCCATACTTTAACATACACTTACGACAGTCGTAGTGCTACGATCACTTTGTGAAACCAGGCCTCGGTCACACAAGACAATTCTACTGAGTTCCATTGTGTGGTGGCCAATGGTACAAATACCTTGTCCCATATGATAATTCTACGAGTCCTATGAGTTCCTGTGTATGTCAGCCAGTCGTACCTATGTTCCAGTCACACAATCCAGACAAAGACACACAAACAAATGGTATAAGTCTCCTCACCTCATCTATCATACCTTAAATCTTTTAGATCTGTTTCCAACAGAAAATAATACACGCAACATTCAGCAATGGTCTGTTGATCAATAAGTCCTTGGCAAACTACAACAGTTATTTCAAACAAACACGACCGTCAGGCTATCCATCACTTTCATTACCAAGAACAAACAAGACGCCCTCTGTAACCACTCCATAAAACTTCGATAAATACTTCTAGAGATATAAAAATAATGAAGCTATTTTATTTCTACTTTTCTATTCAGCACCATGAAATTTTCTCGTGGAAAATCTATTTCACACCTTTTCCATATTGAATCTGTTTCCGAGGGATTCCAAATATAACAATTTCATGGTGATTCCCTGCTACAAAGCCACATCAATGATCATTCAACACTGTTTGATATCACAAATGGAGTTACCATGCAAGAAGTAATGCTTGAGGATTAACGAGCATTGAGGAAGAATAAAATGCTTTCAGGGAATGAAAAAGCTAAGCGATGACAGTGAGTAGGAGTACAAAATGCTATATTGGTATTTAATGTTGCCTGGGAGTGAAAATAATTAGGACATGCTTGAGGAGAAAACCTTTTGTAATACAAGGACATCTCAGAGAAACTGGTAACAAACATTGATCGTCATGGCACAATTCAGTGCCGAAATATAATTCAATACATATTTTGTGCAAATTTGGTCATCAGTGAATAATGGCTTCAATGAATGCCAATTTGTGAAGCATAATGTGAAGTTTTAGTAGAGAATCTGCCATAGTGTCCTTGATGTTATCGTCTGCTGTTCAGAAGCCTCTGAACTTGTGGATTATCTACGTCAAAAGCAGCTTTGTTCTCCTGAATAGGGATGCCAGACTCACTTTCTTCAAATTTGCAAGAAGCTGGTTGGATGTGGTGACATCATTGCATATAGAAGTGTTTGTGGACATAACAGACACACCGGCCAGTGTGTGACTTGTATGTACATCAGTGCATATAGAAGCGTTTGTGGACATAACAGACACACCAGCCAGTGTGTGACTTGTATGTACATCAGTGCATATAGAAGCGTTTGTGGACATAACAGACACACCAGCCAGTGTGTGACTTGTATGTACATCAGTGCATATAGAAGCGTTTGTGGACATAACAGACACATCGGCCAGTGTGTGACTTGTATGTACATCAGTGCATATAGAAGCGTTTGTGGACATAACACACACTGGCCAGTGTGTGACTTGTATGTACATCAGTGCATATAGAAGCGTTTGTGGACATAACAGACACACCAGCCAGTGTATGACTTGTATGTACATCAGTGCATATAGAAGCGTTTGTGGACATAACAGACACACCGGCCAGTGTGTGACTTGTATGTACATCAGTGCATATAGAAGCGTTTGGGACATAACAGACACACCGCCAGTGTGTGACTTGTATGTACATCAGTGCATATAGAAGCGTTTGTGGACATAACAGACACAACGGCCAGTGTGTGACTTGTATGTACATCAGTGCATATAGAAGCGTTTGTAGACATAACAGACACACCAGCCAGTGTGTGACTTGTATGTACATCAGTGCATATAGAAGCGTTTGTGGACATAACAGACACACCAGCCAGTGTGTGACTTGTATGTACATCAGTGCATATAGAAGCATTTGTAGACATAACAGACACACCGGCCAGTGTGTGACTTGTATGTACATCAGTGCATAAAGAAGCGTTTGTGGACATAACAGACACACCAGCCAGTGTATGACTTGTATGTACATCAGTGCATATAGAAGCGTTTGTGGACATAACAGACACACCAGCCAGTGTATGACTTGTATGTAAATCAGTGCAAATTTCAACTTAGAAAGTTGAATCACAATAACACATTGAGGTGTCTGAGGTCTTTCATGTATCAGTTTTGCAAGAAAAAGCATAAAAAAGGATGTAAGCCAACCAAAAACTCCATGTGACAAGAAAAATCAAGAATAGCGTGTTTCAATCTCATTGGATGACATTGTTTCTTTGAAAGGTTTCCTTCTCCTTTCCAAACACCATCTTTAAAATGATAGCTACATCATTTATCAAACTTTTTCTGAAGTTTTATTTCAGATATGAGAGCACGTATCAATCAGTATGATATTGAATTTCCATAATAACAGAGAACATCCCACAAGGTCAACATGATCTGTTGCAGCACAACTTGAAATCAAAACTTTCTGAAACATTTTATGAAGATCTTAAACTCCTAAAGTCAATACAACAAGTGAAGGCCATTTCATCTTTGATGATGTTTACTGTAACGCTCCAAGCAACAGATCCCAAGAGTTGCATGTAGTGTGTTCGGTCCTCTCACCACAACAACACTACTTCTCTATAATTATTCCTCTGATGGATACCTCTCTGCAGGTTCACATGATTGAATAAAGCTCTCACACAACAAATAGACCCAGGCTCAAAATCCATTAACACCCTGACTTCAAATTTCCCCAAATCATATATTACTTTCTTTATTCAGCAACCCCTGCACAAGGATTGGCAGAAACCAAAGTTGTTAACATCCTGGATCCTTCACATCATCTTGACCTTCCCCGACTCTGTTGAGCAGAACTGGGAAATTGAGTTAGCTAATGTAACACTGCTGACACTCCGCTAGCCTTATTCCTACAATCTAATCTCACCACAGCAACCCCACAGTTCGAAACACACTGGCTTTGCCCGAGGAAGAGCTACATTTCATTGAAACGAACA